ACTGATTATCCGCTTGCATGCCAACCAACAGAAAATGCCCACAAAATGCTAATTCAACCCCACTGACTTTTGACATATCATTGAAAAAATTGCAGTGGATAATACATATTTTATAGGCTCCGAATTCAATCGTTTATTGCGTTTTAAAAATCTCTAAGGTTTGTTTTTATTAAAAAACACAAAAATTGTACAACGTTTCTTAAGCATTGATTTATATAATTGCAATTAAGTTAATTGTTAAAAGTGAAATAAAAATGAAAACATCATAAGCTTATATTTCTTTCCTGACTTAACTATTTTTGTGTTCACTTTTAAGAATTGTGTAGATAAAGCTTACAAAAACAAAGAGACATTTTTTAATTTTATTTATAAATAAAAGCTTTTTTTTACCGACTTTAAATAAATGTGAAATGCTTTCAACTAAACCGAAAATAAATAAATGAAGTTACACAGTTGTGGATGTAGATTTTGCCTCGCTCTATGGAAACTCCTTGCGCTTGAATACCAATTACCGAAGTAAAGAAGACACAAGTAAGGAAGTCCTGGTAAACGTTAAAAAACAAAGATGTGGAAGGTGAGGCCGCGCTTCCAACTTGGCATCGGCTGGAAGGTACAGAAAAGGTGGTGCTGAGATATACTATCGGGGTTGGGGAGTTCCTTTTGGCAGATGGCAAAATCGAAGCGACATGCGAAACAATTCAAAGTTTCACGTCGTAAATTTGGCGGGCAACTTCATCGATCACTTTTGGGGGGGACTGGAACTCTTGTTGTTGCCGGCACAGGTTGACTTATTTGCTGGAATTGCTCGAGGGAGAGAGCCAGAAACCGGGAATCGAGAGGTATCGGGACGTATCGGGGACCTGGTTTTTAAAGTCTCCCATCCAGCTGAACGGCACGCGCGCTGTCCTCTGCCAGTTGTTGCTGCAGAGGATTGTACCTCTTGAACAAAGTTTAGGAAGGTAGTTTGCCACAGAGGTACTTTGGTAATACTGTTGAATTAAATGTTTTGCCATTTTAAATTAATTTGGAGGAAGTGGTTTAGACGTAAAATCAACTATTTTTTTCATTAATATTCTTAATGACAGATAATATCAACATTAACTGTAACTTTAACTTTTTTAACTGATAACATTTCTAATGTTTAATATAAAGAGATTTTTTAAAATTTATTAATCTATATAAACAAAAATTAAAAAGGTTTCTATAAGTTTAGTTTAGTTCGAAACAAATTGGACTATTTTCTAGTTATCAAATGTAAAATTAAATACTACCTACTATTACTTTTCCTATTTAAAATCAATTACTTTTCATTCTGTTTCCGACTAAAAATACTAACTAATATTATCAAAAAGAAGTCATAAAAAAGTTAATAAATCCTTAGTTATTTTGGACCTTCCCTGACAGACTTTCCTAATTGACTGAACATGTTTCAAATTTCGTTATTGAACAAAACATTTAAATATGGTTTACATGGTATATCTTAGTCGTTAATGACTACTTGTGATTTGAGTTGCAGTTTGCTGGAGCGGAAACGCAGGCTTTTGGGGCGAGTTGTCTGTGGCGGCGGCATGTGAAAATATTTTCCAAGGTGAGCGCCACACACATACACCAACTTAGGGGGACAGCAGGATGGAAAAGGACGCGAGTGCAAGGGGACACCGGCGGGCACTCGAATCCAGCTGAGACCTGGGTCTGGGTCTGATCCTGGACCCGAATTTAATGATTTAGAGTCGCACAGTTGTCAAAGAGCAGCGATGCGTACGGGCAGCGTCCATGGGACCTTTCTTACTCTGGGGAGACCGAGGGGAAAAGCGGGCCTGGTCCCCACTCCAATTTTAATGGGTGGGTTCCAGAGCGGGCGCCAAGTATGCTTTTAAAACCGATTTATCCGTTTTCTTGATATTTATTGCCGACACATAATTGACTGTAAAATTTTTGGGGCTTTTCCCATTTTCAAAACATTAAAGGTATACAAAATAAATTGTAATTAAATTTACTTTTATAATACATTAAGAAATCAAATTTATTAAATTATATGGTTTAAAAATTTCTAAGTTTACTATTTAATGGCCAAAAATGTACAATCCCATTGGTATTATTGAATAAAGATATACCTATAAAATTTAACTGAAAAATATAGCTGATGCTGGTTTGAATTAATAGGAATGCAATAGAAATACCCTGAAAAATACTTTGATAAAATTATGAAGTTTATTTTACCGTATACATAATTTACTTTTTATAACGTATCATGCAAAGAATAAATCTTTGTTTCAATAAGTATATGAATGTTATAGTTTCAGTTTAATTGCAACTTATTACAAAGGACCCATATGCTTCTTTAAAATACATAAAGCTATTCTTGTTATTCCAATATAATTGTATATATGTATTTCAAATTTCTTTTAATCTTAACTTACAGAAAAAATTGATTTAATGAGCTTAACGTTACATTAAAAAAAACTATGGTACTCTGAAAATTAAAAATTATAAGAAACTACAAATATAACAATACAATAACCAAAAACTTAAACTACATAACCCCGTCGAAAGATTCGGTAACGTTTTTGCCGCTGGCAAACATGCAGCTCCAACTGGAATTCTCACCGCTGACCCACCAAGTGAATTCTCCGCACTCAAAGCAGCAAAATTCTCAACTGGAGCATTCTGCCATGCAGGCGTCGGCAGCGACGCCAGCAGCGCTGTCTGCTTCGGCGTCCGACGACTGCGTAAATTTATGTGAGAAATGGCAATTGAAAAAAGAGCAGCACGGCGCGCTCACGACACACATAAAGCAAAATAATGGCACATTCGTCACACTTAACGCGGCCGCATCTGACCATCTCGCTCACACTTGCGTCTGACCCTCTCGCTCGCACTTCTGCTCTCTTTTTGCGCCGCCATCCATCTTGTGCGTTTGCCAGTGTGTGTGGGCTCTCCGACAGCTGAGAATGCTTTATGAGTGTGCGTCTGTTGCGGACTCCTCCCTGTTTACGACGCTAGCAGCGCCGCCGGCAGAGGCACGGGCAGCGAAAAGTCGGCCAACTTGTGTTGTTGTTCTTATGGCCGCTCAACAACAGCTGTGAGAGAGCGAGAGGTAGAGCGGGAGAGAGCGAGAGCGAACTGATGCTGGGGTGAATTGTGTGCGTGTGAGTGATGGCCTGAATGTGTGTGGCTGTGTGAGTGCATGTGATTTGTTGTTGCCGCGTTTCGATATAAACTCGGCCATGATTGTTTTGCCGTCGGCAAGTGGATGTTTGGATGCCATGCTCCCCGGTTCCATATTCCGGATTCCATATTTCACGACGGCCATCATTTTCCCGATTATCGAGTTGTTAGCCGATAATGAGCCATCAAAACGACAAAATATGACGGCAATGGGTTAATCATTTTTGGCGAACAGATTTGCGTTTAATCAAACCCATTTTTTATATTTAGATGTAGTTGACAGTGAAATATATTTTTTATGAATAGTAAAATTGTAAATGGTTTTAAAAATTAAAATTATAATTATGTGTACATGAAGATTTTTATACATATTTTCCAAATATGTTTCGTAAAAAGAGGTCTTTATTTTAAAATGTTACTCTTTTCAACTTTTAAAAAGTACCAACTTCACTATATGAAATGAAAATTTAATTTATCTTTGTGTTTTTATCATACAAAAATTTTAAGTTTTTACGAAATATTTTGAAAATATTTGCGAAAAAATTGGTCGACAATAAAGGTTCTATTTGCATAGATTGGGTACCTAAACAATTAATTTTGATCAAAAAACAAGATATGTATACGCAAATCAAGAAATACAATAAATTAATACACAAGACAGTTTTTTTAAGCAACCAAGACATTTAGTAAAAGATTCCCACAAACAAATATATTTATACATGAATTGTTCTTTATAGTTAGAAAGCTATTTCTGTTTTAAAAACGATAACCATTTCTCATTTTAAAAACTATTTATATGTGCCGTTTGAATGAATGTAAATCCTTAAAAACACATGTTTACTTTTTGAAGTACATTTAAAATACGTCAGTTCTAAACGACATTTTATTTTCATCAAGGTAGCAGAACAACTTTTAAAATTTTTTTTATCAACTTAGCAGAACATCCAATAATTTAAAAAAATTAAGCGGCATATTTAGCGGAAAATTGCTATCTTGTTGCACATAAACATTTTGGGAATAAAAATTCTTACATTTTGAAAAGGTTATATGAAGTGTTAAGATTTGGCCCGACTTTAAGTAAACCGGAAAATACATTCGCATGTAACGACATATTCAAAGAGTATCTAATTATTAACTAAAATCGAAAGTTTAGAGAACTAGGCTTTTGTCACAGAAAACACAAAATAACTTTGGAAAATATAATGAGATACATATGTAAATTCAAACAAAGTTGAACGATTTTTTAAAAGGTGATTTGAGTTAGGCTAAAGGATTTGAACAGCGGTTTACCGTTAATAATAGAAGAAAAATGTTAAAATAAAAAATAAAACATACCATATAAAGAAAATAAAATGTGTTCCCTCTTGAAATTAACGAACAGTGCTTCAAGATTTGGCATAAGATCGTCTTGTATAGCTGAATGTAAAGCCTCCGAGCTGAAAACAGGAAACTCAAGCCGGGACCTCTGGCGAATGAATGCGAGAATGTGAGAATGTGGGAAGCACGCGTGGTCAAGTTCTCAATTCGCAGCGAACTCAGTGCTCTCTCAGTCACTCAAATGGCAACGAGAGCAGAACCGTTCTTTTCGCAAAATACTTTATGGGCAGAGCAACTCTGTCGCGGTCGCAGCCACTGCCGCTGCCAACGCTGCAGTCGCTGCCGGCGTTGCGGCACATAAATAAAACGCTCTCTCGCTCACGAGTTTCTTATAAGACTTTATTTATATACTGCGCTGCCGCCGCCGACGGCGCTCGCTGTCGACGTCGCTGGATTAATAAGGAGTTCTCGCTGGGATTTTCACATGTATATGCTTTGAATTGAATGCTTTATGGGTTTAGTTTGATAGGAGTCGTAAAGAAATCAACATCACACAACAAAGCACTCGAGGACCCGTCCGTGTACCGTTGATTTAGCCCACGTGCGAGTGTGTGTGCGAGAGGGATCCAAGAAGCATAACGGTGTTTGATGCTATAGCGGCCATATCTTGGGGCTGTCCGAACTATTCGCTCGCTCTCCGCCGCCGCGACCGCTCTCTTTCCACGCGCCATATCCCAATTGACAGCCCGCTAAGATCATAAAGGCCGTAAAATAATCATAACAATAATCGTAAAAAATTAGAACCGCAATCAGTCGCACATTGGCCATCGCACGGCGCAGATCGTCGTAAACCCATTCTAATAATAATAATCGTAATCGCAATCGTAATCGCATAAACACCAAACAAAAACAAAAAGCCAAACACCCTGGGAAATTTAATTTCGCGCGCGTTTCTTTTTATGATGTTCAAGTGTCTGGCAGGTGTCTGGATTAACCCACAAATTGTGCAATATAACTAATGAATCTGGGGTGACTGTGCTGCAAAGAAGAGTTCCAATTGATCAAGCCAAATCCTACTACCTAAGTGTTTATCTATTCTTAAAATCGTGCATCGAAAACTCAAATCTATAGAACAACGATTTCTAGTCCCCGCAAATCGAGCAATATCTACACACTAACAAAAATAGCTAAAGCTTCCAACTCTAACCGTACAAATACGACAAAAATAAACCGTAGACAGCCAAAATACAGAAAACATAAAACGATAAAAGAATAAGGAGAAGAAAAAGTTTCGTTTCCACTGCGGGCAAAGTTTTTATTTTGGCGTACGTGCAAGCAACCGTTAGCTGAGAAATTTGAAAAGCCAACAGGATTGAAGGATAAGCACACGTTATTGGATTTAAAAGGTAAGTGGCAGAGCTTTACTTTTCAATTTCCCCCAAGCTCCACTGACAGAAATTATTCGAATACAGTTGAGGGTTTTTATTTTGCAGTTTCTATCACTCATTAATAGTCTTACCAAATTGTTATTAAGAAATTGATTACAACCTCAGAAGCTATTGCATTACTAGCGCGCATTCAAAGAGTATTTATTACTTCTGTTTAAAAAGGCAAGAATTTATTCGGAACTTTAAAATTTTTGACTATGAGGAAGGGTGTTTTCAAATTAGGTTTTTGTTTCAAACTATAAACAAATAATTGAAAACTCTTATTTTAATTTGTAAGCTACGTTATCAACATAAAAACAAATTGGATACTTCTTATAATAGCTTGATTAACAACTTGTTTCCGTATTTAACTATGAAAATAAAAATTAAACTATATGAAAGGTTTAAAATTTGAACAAATTACTAAAAAAAAACACTTAACCTTTGAAAGTTCAGTTTAAGCTAAAAAAAAAACTAGTTTTAATTTTTAAAAGCATATACTACTAATATCTGTCAAGATACCGATTAGGGGTTTATTCCAGCAACACTTTATTATGAATTGGTTTGTCATAGACTATTAGACTTGTAAAATAAAAAATAAAACATAGAAATATCTGCCGTTTCCGTATTGCAACTTGCAACGTCTAAGTTTTTTGCCAGAACTCGGATTCAACACTTCATAACTCAAAAGGCGTTTTTCGGATGCTACAGCCAGGTCATCACTCATTTGGCCTGCAGACTGCAAACTGTTGACAGGCTTATTAGCCATTTGCATAAATTTGCAAATGGGGAAGGGAGGAGTGGCAGGGATTCGGGATTCCCCGGGAGTTGAAGCTGGAAAACTGAAAACGGAGCTCCGAACTTAACTGGCCACGAGTAATGGGCGCTTTGAACTTGGAATTCGTTTTTGAGTTATTGCACATATCCTGGGCAACATAGTTTCACTTCCGAATGGTGGGAAAGGGCAGCCATTTCTCTCGCAGGCCCACACACACACAGACAAACACACTCGCACAAACAGGACACTCTCGGGTTCTCTGCAAAGAAAATTTATGCGGCCATTGTTGCAGTGCATTGTCCTTGTTGTTGCTGATTTTGTTGTTGTCCTAGTTGTCTGGCCTTTGCATATTTGTCGTCCTCTCTGTCTGCCGCTCGCCACCTCTCTCTTTCTCCAATTCCCGCTTTCTCATTGCACTTGCGCCCGAACGAAGTGCAAAATTTATACTTAATTTAATAAACATTTAGAAAATTTTCTTATGATGCGTATATTAGGCTTTAATGGACTTTGCGTGGGCTTGCCATTTTGCCTGTTTATTGTTAACACAATTCCATTTCCATTTTTGCCGGCCTATATTTTTGCGCAATCAACTAGCTCCATCGAATGAAATTATTTTCTCATAATTTATCGATTTAATCAGCTGGAAATGTTACACAGCTGACAAAATCATAAACTCCGCTCTTGTTTGGCCTGCAAAAAGTTGTATGATTTATGGTCCAGTGTCAGACACAAAAATACACTGATGCAGTGGTCAAAGAATTGGGGAAAATATTTTGATTTGTATGCAAAAATCACATCTTTCATCAGAGATATTATTTCACTTATATTTGAATAATTTTTAAGCCAGACTTTAACCTTATTTACCTAGGGAGTTTTTTTAATACCCATAAATATTGATTTGTCCTAACCAAATCCATGAGTAACCACTTCCTTTTAAACGAATTCTTAATCAAGTTCACACTCGTGGATGAGCTAAAAAAAGATTTATAATTCGGCATACGAACGGCGACAAGTCTTTTGTAAAAACATTAATCACGACCTCCGAGCTTCAACCGAAACCAAAAAACTAAGCAACAAAAGAAAACGAAATTGTTGTTAATAAAACAAATAAAAAAAGCTTCAAAAAACAGCCGGGACACAAAGAAAACTTGTTTGGTTTCCATTTGAAATTAAAATTATATTTTAAGCTCCTATTGATAGATGGCGACATGAAACGGCTAATTAATCATATGCAAGCCACGGCAAATTTAAATAAAATACAAAAACAGCTGAAACAAAAACCTTAGTTTCACACACATTAGTCACATTCATAAGTCTACAAAAAACAAAAGACCAGAAACGGCACTTCAAAAATGTGTTTTTCCTTTTAAGATCGTCAAAAATGGTGTCGGCTCGCCTCGAGATATTTAAACCCTTGAGAGGCAAACCTTGATAAGCCGCCGGAAGTTATGGACTTTGTTCACTTTCTTCATTGTTTTTGCTTTGGGAATTCATATTGGCTTTAACAATAAAAAAATATGGCTTCACCCAGAAAAAAATATTTTTACTTACATTTTGAATTTATAATTCGTTTATGATTGAAAGAATATTTTCTGATTACTTTTTCGGTTTTTGAAGTTGCTAATAAAAAAACTTTTTAAATAGGGTTAAATAAGATTATATAAATTAACTGTCTTAACTGATTAGTATAAGACTTTTTAAATAAAAAACACAATTTTTAATTATATTTAATGAATTCTTAGGTATATTAAATTCAGCACTTGGTGATTGTGATAAAAGTAAAGTACAAAAGCAGTTGCTAAAAGAATGGATAAAACTTAGGTCTAACCCATTTTTTTCGGATGAGCGCATGCAGTTTTTCTTACCATGGCCAAAGGGAAAGAAATGGATACTTGCTATATTAATTTTTAGCCCAAAAGAAGTCAGCGCCTCGAGCTGTTTTATATATTTTTTGTAGGTTCGTGGTAGAAAAACGTAGTCGAAAATCAGAGTGAGGAGTAGGGACTCAGGGGGTTAAGGGTAGGGGGCCAGAAACCCAGCGGGAAGCGCTCCCAGTGACATTGCGCCGAAGCGGGTGACAATGATTTATGGCAAAGAGATATGCGACAAGGAACGCAAAAACTCAAAACTCGAAAACTAAAAAACAACACTCGCACACCAAAATTCGGAACACACTCCAGAGCGGCAGGAAACAAAATGAAAATTCACGAAACTAAGGGAAATTCCGAAAAGCAAACTACCTTTGCTCGCATTCACCTTCCCGAAATTCGCAAAGAATCTATTTTTTTAATGCTCAAAGTGTCCTTGAAAAGACAACTACAACGACGAGCCGAAACCGAAAGTGGAACCTGCTGATTTTTACGATACTTTTCCTTTTTGTCACTTGTCAGGAGTTCGTAAAATCGGGAGGATTTTCCAGCAAAAATCATACGGCCATTAGGAAGTCGAAGTCACCTGGCGGTCGGTTATGCAATAGTCATTTTGTACGGTCATAAAAATTAATATGCGTCCTTCGCAGTGGCAATTTGGTGTGCATATCTCGGCAAACGCATCTCCATAGTCCATTATCTGACTTTGAACTCGAGTCGCTAAGCCGCTGGAGTCGGAGTACATGACTTTTGGCTTTATCCACGTCTCGCTGTCTGCATCCATTGTATCTGTATCTTGAAGGTTACCTGTTTTTACAGTTCCGACTGGGCTCGGCACAGCCTTCTTCTTTTTAGATACCATACCCAGCGTTCTGCTCGGCACTCTCTCAAATTATTATTTATGAGCTCGCATTGTTGTCGTCGATCTGGAATCGAACCGTCCGACGATTCCTACACACATAGGTTTATTTGGCTTCGCAGCCCCGAATGCAGTTCAAAATTTTTACTTTCAACTCGAAAACGAAATTCATAATAAATCAAATCATTTTTGTGTGCTCGAGATGCAGTTCCATGTTTCTCTTCTCGTTTGTGTGGATATAAATCAAAGCCGATTCTGGCAAGATTTCGGTGCATTGTGCTAAAGGATTAAGAAATGCAAGCAAATATGGACGGCGGGAACAGGTTCTGGCAAGTGGGAATTTATGAATTTTATTATTTGGATATTTAAAATGTTATCCCCATAACTCTGAAATAATTCAATGTAAGTTTAATAAAACTAAAAATTTGTTCACTGGTAAATCACTCCAAGAAAATTAAAGTAATTCCTTCACCCTTTAGCACTTAAAATATGTCAATATTGCACTTTGGTTTGCATTTCTGGTTTAGTTATTTATTTATTAAAATTTAAACAATGAAAAATATTTTTATACCAGTTTGCAGTCAACAACTACAAACAGAACGAAACCTCATAGGTGGAAAAAACATTAACAATTTCCCGGCCATCAGTTTTTCAACAAAAACTACCCTTGGTGATCTTTCTTTTTATCAGGTCACCCACTATTTCTTTCTAATGTTTGTTGTATGTTGCTTGTACTCTACTTCAATTATGCCCACCGTGAGAATTGTTCCACCACGTGTGCACTGCCACCATAAATCACATTCACTTCCAATATTTTCACAAACACATCACAATGGAGAAAATTCTGTGATTTATTTGTGTGAAGAAGTCAATAAGTCATAAAAAGTCGAAATAAATCTTGATTTTTTGTGTTGTGTCCCTCTAAAGAGAACTCTGCGAGAGGTTGGAAATATAACAGAAAACTCGGGCGGAACATCGAACATCCTGTGCACAAAGAAAGTGGGAGGTAAACATACATATGTGAGAAATATTTGCATATTGCAGCTGCGGGTGGTAGTAAAAGATGTCAAAACAAATATGACAAATACGAGCTGGGAAAAAACATAGTTTCAAGCATTTTAACTTAACAATTAGCCACGGTTCAATTTTTTCGTTCTTATTTTATGAACCATTCTTGAAAAATTTGTATCTGCATTTAGATCTGGATCTTGAATTTCAAACGCTTTCTGCCGCACATACGAACTGATTGTTCAAAACAGCACGAGCTGACTGAAAAAAAATACAACAAAAAAGTGAGTCAAGAAAAGTCCAAGAAAAACGGAGAACTGCGAAACGTTGTATAAAAGCTTGGCGGCAAATGCGAGTCAAACAAAGCTGGAACACATATACGTAATCTATATCTATGTATCTAAACTAACTAGCCATGGGCAAAAGTCTGTCTCAGATTCGCATACAAAAAAACTTCGAGAGCCCC